TCTGAAGATTGTAGTTTGAACTCATTGATATGTGTTCTGATTGTATAATTTTTTATAAATTTTTTTTTGGTTTTCTAAAATGCAATTGCCTGCGGGCGCCAACACTCCCCTTCAATTTTTTTTTTAGGAATTTGACTTTAGTTGAATTTTTTTTTCACAGACTTGAATATTGATAACCTGCAGGTGCCCTCTGCATTATCATTCTTATGTTTATCATTCAACCTATGTTAAGTCCTTTGACTCCTTCCGGAACACTGCCGGAAAAATCAAAAACCACGCGCGCCTATACGTTACGCGTCATACACGCATTAGTCACCTTTCACTTTCGTGCACTAAGTACGGTTACCTCAAATGCCCGGGAGCTCTTGAAATTTATCTCGTCGGATAGAAAATGTTCAAAGCTTTCGGGGACATAGTAATATGCGACCGAACAGCCCAGGGGACTATTTTTTCGTACTGAATATATACGGGCGGGTGTGTCGTTTTTAAATTTTTTTGACCAAGTTCCGGAAGGTGGCACCGCATTAAACCTATATATTCGGAAAGCCAGGGAAATTCTCTATAATACGTTTATACTTTAAAAATGTTCAAAGCTTTCGGGGACATAGTAATATGTGACCGAACAGCCCAGGGGACTATTTTTTCGTACTGCCTAGGTACGATCGGGCGTGCCGTTTTTAATTTTTTTGACCAGGTTTCAACTTTCGTGCACTAAGTACGGTTACTTGAAAAGCCCGGGAGCTCTTGAAATTTATCTCGTCGGATAGAGAATTTTCCTGGCTTTCCGAATATCTATGTTAAGTCCTTTGACTCCTTCCGGAACAATGCCGGAAAAATCAAAAACCACGCGCGCGTATACGTTTCGCGTCATACCGGCATTAGTCACCTGGCACTTTCGTGCACTAAGTACGGTTACTTGAAAAGCCCGGGAGCTCTTGAAATTTATTTCGTCGGATAGTAAATTTTCCTGGCTTTCCGAATCTCTATGTTAGGTCCTTCGATTCCTTCCGTAACACTGCCGGAAAAATCAAAAACCACGCGCGCGTATACGTTAGGCGTCGTATGGGTGTCGTGTATAGTGCTATCTCCTGCCTTCGCGGCGTCATTTTATAATACTATGATGGGTAGATGACCTTATAATATTTCGTGAAGAATCTTTTACTGCTATTTTGTGGTATAAATATTTTGTATATTTTTTAGGACATATTACTCATAATTTTAATTTTAATATTACTGTATTGATATTATTATATTAACATACATTTTTTTCTATTGAAATAATACGGAAAAATTAAAATTTAATTAAAAGCGCAATAATTTATATTTTTTCACTTTATTAAATGTATGAGAATTGTTGCTATGTCAAATTATTAAAAATATGAACAGATAATTCTTGCTATTTCAAAAATTGCATTTGATGTCTTCATTTTTTAATCCACTTATTTTTAATGTATAGTTTTAGATTTTGAGTGCATATGAATGCATATTTCTGAACTTTTAAAGGATTATTTTGCCAGTTTTTAGCGCATAAGTGCATGCTTATTTAATAATTTTTGGGGCTTGAACTTAAAAGCCCTGCTTATATGACACAATGTAAATATCAATATTTAATTTAAGTTAGGTACAATTTAAAATTATAATAAAACTTGTGCCCAATACGTCTATACTACATACTTAACTATATAGAAATACAAATTGTTTTATTCCTTTTAACACTGTCTTTATTTTTGTAGCATTGTATCATACCATAGAACTTATATATTATATTCAGTACCTATGATACGGTCTATTGATAAATCGTATGTTCATTTACAGAAATATTATTATAAATAGTTGCCTGTAGGCTGTAGCCTAAATGGAAACTTTTTCCATTTGGAACTGACGACAAGACGCCGTGAGATCTGCTTTTGCATTACTTACACGGTTTTAGATATAACTATAACGACTTCCTAGAGTTGTACATAAACACTGAACACTTGTTTAATAATGATGCACAAAAACAATGACTTGTGTTGTAGCTGAAATGCCTATCCAAAGCGCAGTGTTTAAATTTGTATTTAAAAAAATTTTGTAAAACTATTAATATAATATTATGATTTATGATTTACGGAAAAATGATCCTAACGGAAAAACTAAATAACAGTACGAATTAACCGTGCTGCGTGTGCTTAGTGATTTTGCTTTTTTAGAAAACTAAAAAAAGTTTTAGAAAAAATTATACAATTGGAACACATTAGAGAGCTCAAACTGAAATTTCCAGAATATAAAACAGAAAAAACTATTCAAAATAAATAGCTCATTAAAGAAAAACTATTTATAGGGCACCTGCGGGATATCAATGATCAAGTCTATATAAAAAATTCAACAAGAGTTAAATTCCTAAAAAAAAAATTGAAGGGGAGGGTTGGCGCCCGCAGTCAAATGCATTTTAGAAAAATAAAAAGGTGGATTAATATAACCAATTTATACAAAATCCTATCCTAACATCATAACCGTACTAAAATCTGACGAATAAAAAAAAAACAAATTTAACCCTTTGTAAATTAACCTATATTCTTCCCAGAGGTCTAATATACCCGCAAACATTAATTTATACATCTAACTATATAAATACACAGACTATAACTATACAGACCAAACTCTGAAACTACTTATCAGATATTATTGTATAAATTATATATATTATGTATAAAAAATAATAATATAAATCAACAATCATGACCGATTAACCGATAGCAACCAATATAATATAATACACAGGTAGATTTTCCTAAAACGTTTATTCATATAAACCTTCTCCATGAAATACTCTTTCGTTTTAAAAAAAAATCAAGAAGATCTAATTAGTAGTTCCAGAGTTATGCCTGTACAGAGATTTTCATTTAAATCTAAACATCTTAAATCTTAAATAGGTATTCATTTGAATATACAAATTCATTAAGATCATTAGATCTATATACCTACACACGAAATGTATGACTTGGATAAAATCATAAAGTCCACTAATGCATTCAATTTCGACGTGACCAGCAAAAGTACTCGCCATCTATGCTCATCAAATGTTTAAAATAAGTGTAAAAATAGGTGCGTATATAATGTATTTAAAATATAAATGTTAAAAATTGTTTTAAATACCTAAAACCTAAGGTGTTCCAAGGTGTATAGTGCATTGTATAATAATTATGCAAAAAAGGTAGGTACCCATACGTATTAAACTTAGAGCGGTGTACTGTTCGGGCACACGTATTTTATACATTGTGCGTTAAATGTGATAATTTGAAAACAATTTCTTAAAACTACTAAAATATTTTCTCTGTTGTAGCTGAATTGCCTATACAATGCGCCGTGTTAACAAAATTTTGTATTTCATTTTTTTTCAAATATACTAAAACTATATTATTATAATATTATTATTTATGATTTACAGGAAAAATGAACAAAATGGCAAAAATAAAGAACATTAACGTCTTAACCGTGCTGAGTGCGCTGAGTCTAAACTAGGTATACACATTTTAGATAACTGGATAACCTATATTCTTCCCAGAGGTATAATCTACCCACAAACATTAATTCATGTATCTAACTATATAAATACACAGACTATAACTATACAGACTTAACTCTGAAACTACTTAGCAGATATTATTGTATATATATATATATATATATATATATATATATATAAAAAATAATAATACAAATCAACAATCACGCCCAAAAAAAAAATGTAGAAAAAATTATACAGTAGGAAAACACATTAAAGAGTTCAAAATAAAATGTCCAGAATCCAAAACAGAAAAAACAATACTGCCAATGATTAGCTCATTAAAGAATGATGATACAGAGGGTGGCACCTGCTTGTTAACAATATTCAAATCTATACAAAAAATTCAACTAGAGTCAAATTTAAAAAAAAAAATTGAAGGGGAGTGTTAGCTCCCGCAGTCAAATGCATTTAGAAAACCAAAAAAAAATTAGAAAAATTATACGATATTAAGGCATATTGAAGAGTTCAAACTAAAACGTGTGGTTCATCGATATTAGGAATACTAACAGTTCCATTTGAACAACACATACCAGCAGATTCTCCTTTAATTAAGAAAATAATATAAAACGTATTCAAAATTCTAAAAATGTATACACTAATAAACTACCTTTGAATTTCATTGTATTGCAATATTGACAAATTACATCCATTACACCGATACAAACATCATCGTCGTCATAATATGGATGCTTAGGTTGGTATAAATAGGCGGACCGGAATTTTACCCACTTGAACGGTAAATCACCTAAAGTTTATGTATTTATAATAATAAATAGTAGTGAAACATAGGCGAAGTATAATAAACAGATATATTATTTAATAATGTATATACGATACATCGTATACATCGTACACCACATACCAAATAATGTGGGTTCAGCATTTGGTCTTAACCTCTTATGCTGTGTAGTAAAAAACATATTTGTTTCAAAGTGACAATTGCACACTCTAAAGTTTTTATTATTCGGACGAATATTGTTTTTGCGTTCCAATAAATCGGTCCTGTTGCAACTATTAAGCCATTATTGTATTAATCTATAAATATTAGATAATCAATAATTTATTTATCACATTTACTACATACATACCTACCTACTATTATGATAACATTTTTAAATTCAGAATTAAGTATAATATTTTATTATAATTGTATTTGTGTTGTAAGAAAATTGTTGCCCCCTATCCAGATCTTTGTACTGGATCCGTGCCTGAGTGGAGTGGTAAGCAGTTACCCCGCAAAATGTTAGTCCACTGCTCCGGTCCACTAAACTTTATATACTTTCCTATACCTAGCTCATAGACCTTTGAATGGTTCTCGACTTCTCGAGGCACCGAGACTGCGGCAGACCAAACTTTGGCGACCGTGACAGTGACGACTGCGCAACGGAGAATATGTAGACGACGACGGCGAGTACGAGCACCGCCGACGGCGTTATGCAGTGACAACGACGAAATGCCCTGCTCAGATTTCGTGCTAAATTCAAGGTAAGTCATAACGCAACAATACAATACCTTCCTCGGAGTTCCTCCTCAGTGGTGGATCGTGGATATATGAAGGGAACGGGCCGATAAAATGTTTTTGTTGTTTTATAAAACAAATATAATATCTTTAATAATATAAAGCGCGTACACCACGTCATAATTCATAATATTTTATATTATGCATACAAAATGTGTACCTATTCCCTCCCCTCTCGGCCATTCCTATGATAAGATACTAAGTATGCAACACTGTACCTCTATTGCTCATCTCTTATTTGTATAAGATGTGCTAATAATAATATCTACTTGTTATAAATTACCCAAATTATATTATATTAATATACTAAAAATAATTGTATATTTGTATCTTGTATCTAAGGTAGGTATTTAGGTAAGTACTTTATTTTTAATATATTTTTATACAGGTTGTTGCACGATAAATGTGCTGAACTTCAAGAAGTGTTTCTACACCTCAAATGGAACAAAAAAAGTCCTTATGAGTTTTGACCATGATCGAATTATCAATAATAAGGGTGATAATTTCCATGTTTGTGTTTTCTTGGTTAAACCCAAGTTTGGTTCATAATAATATTCATATCTGCTAAATCGTAGGTACTACAATTAATTTGAATACATTTATGAAAAGCTCATAAAATTGGGATTAGGACAATATATCTTACAAGGTTCCCACCTAATTTTTTGGTTAAAAAGAATAACACAAATACTTTATAACTTTAAAATGTCGAAATGTTGAAAATGTTCAGTTTTTTCTAACAACAATAATTATTTTTTAAGGCAGGGGTCATAAGGACTTTTTTGTTCCATTTGAGGTGTAGAAACAGTAAACACCTCTAGAAGTTTGACATATTTATCGTGCAACACCCTGTATATAAACATTAAACACCCATTTAATTATGAACTATAATAGCGATAGTACCCCGCGGTGTAATATGTAGACAAAATATCCAAATAATTTGATTTCAAATATTAACCTATTGGCAACCTATACATTTCTGCATTTATATGTTCTTGTTCTATAGCTTATAGTGAGGATACGCTAGGTGTGTTCGTTGAGTAGTGGTCAGAGACGTATTTATAGGAATTTTGAGCCCCATGTAAGAAAAAAAACGCCCCCTCCCAACCTGAATTTTTTCAGCAATATACAAATATGTGTATTTGTATAAAAACAGATGATAGTGAAATCACTGCATTCTTCGCTACACTCATAATCGGAAAGGTATATTAGGTATACATAAAAAAATAAATTTATATCGAAGCAAATATTACATAATTTTAGTAGGTATATGTATTTATTATATTAATTCGACCAAAAACCTCAATGTAGATTAATTGACAACATTTTAAAAAGAATATTATAGATATATGTTAAAATTAAAAACGTTTACGTCGTTCTTTTTCATTAGCAAAGGTATCAATGATATCATCATAAATTAACTGTTATGTTAAATCTGACTCTATCGCGTCAAAACAGCCAAACAATTTAGCCTCTCATCTGTTGTTCTAGTCTAGAACTTCTAGATCTTAAATAGGACTTAACCCTTTTTAATACTGAAAAATATCTCTCAGCCGAACAGTTTGATATAGGACATGAAAGAAAAATTCTTAATGCAATTTCTACATAAGGATACAAATCTTGATGATTATTTTTTACTACTAGTGGCGGCGTGCGGAACTATTAACTAACGCTGATCATTTGAGATTATTTTTTTTATTAAACAAAAAATTTATATTTACAGTCTGTATTTACACGTTATACAATAAGAAAATTTGATGTGGTTTGATTGACAGCACCCCGAAAACACTTGAGATATAAAAAAAAAAATTTACCCGATCCAAGTCAAACATTTTAATTGATCTTTACATAATGTAGTTAACAATTAGTAATACCATTATAATTTATAAGAAATAGGATTTTAGGAATAGGTATAGGTAGGTATACCTATAATACTGCTATACTCACTAGTAACTATACTCGCTGCACGGCATACTGTACATTTATGTGCGGCTGTGGGTATTAAAATTAAAAATTTGCATTACAATGTTATTTTTCTAGAAAACATTTGGACAAAAACAATTCGGCATTTGTCGAAGAAACAGATTCGGACGTAGAAGTATATTTGGACGAAATACCACATTCAGTCTACAATAACGTTATACGTCATATACAAACAATACCAAGAGTGGTGAGCACTTGGATAAGCCAAGAAAACAAAAAGGAAACTTTAAAATTCGAATGTAGTATTAATTTTCGTTCTTTGTATTTGAATTATTTGAAAAAATCGAAGAAGATTAAAAATAAAGTCAACGAAAAGCAGTTTAAAAAAATTTATAATAGATATGTTAAGAAAAGTTTTATGGTATAATTCTGATTAACATTTTTATAAAATATCAATCAAACACATGTCTTAATATTTCATACTATTACATATATTATCTACAGAATGTTTTTTTCCATGTTATTAAAAATAATTTAAATATTTGTAAATGATCGCTATACTATAATATCTCGTTTACCATCGCAGCTAGAAACTTAACACTTATTAGGATTTAGGACTTTGCATTCAAAAGAAATTAAATAAAAGCTATTTAAAAGAAAAACACAGTTTATACAATATTTTTTTATTATAAATTTATTATACACAAATTACAAAACATAAAATTCACATTGGTTTTTTGCTAGCTTTAGAGGAACTACACTCATTGACATTGATCATTAATCATTATCCCGGTGCGGGACAATAATTTGAGGATATTTTTATATCGGTTTGACTGACGAATTTATAGGAAATATTATGAGTCCATCTAATCTTTGGATATATTATCCTTGGACAGTTCCTTTCATTTCTTTTTTATTTATTGAAAATTTGAAAATATCATAATACAACTTATGGATGTAAGTCTAGGATAATATCTAATTGTTTACTATTTACTACCAGCATAGAACAATAATATGGTATAACCATGTACACAAATAAAAGTTGTTGAAGTTAGACACAATTCCTTTCTGTTATTATCTAATTCTAGGTTATGTTATTCTATTACTTTTGTATTATGATGTTTAAATGTTTCTAATGCGCTACGCAGTCACGTAGAGTGTAGAGCATGGTGTCATGAAATTCTATTTTTTCTTATTAATTATAAAAGTGTCTTATAATAAAGTTTACATTGCAGTTATTAAAACATGGTTATTCTTTTTAAATCAATAAAAGTAATGTTCACGGAATGGTCAACATGGCTATCCTGACGTGGGGGCACTTAAATAGTGTAATACATACACGAATGCGTTACCTATTTATGTTACTAAAAATTCAACAGTTATTATTATATTTATTTATTTTTTGCATATAGGCAGGTACAATACAAGACATAATTAAAATCACATTTATTTTTATTTTTTCGAACACAATATTTCAAAAATTATTAATTAATATATAATTTATTGGTATAGTATTAAATAAGTTAATGAAATAAAATAAACATACCTACTATAATTATTACCTAGTAATAATAATAAATTCATGTATAAATTATTAAAATACAAACGAACAAACGAAAAACGATTCTGAGCAAAGACAGTACCTAATAAATAATATAGTGATTAAAGTAATTTATTTTACTATTAGGCATTATTAGTACGCAACAGTAGGTTAAAATCATTTTTGCCCAAAAAATTACATTTAAAAGTGTCATCATGTATATAAATTATGATAATATACTCTAAAGACTAAAAGTTTCATAAGTCCACGAATACCTGCTATTTTTAATTTACAACAAAATAACTATACCTAATCCTTCTTTGTTTTAAGGGGCCTCGCTACTGCCGTCAATTTTAGCTGAAAAGACCTAAAGTATTGACACAATTAAAGTTAGTTAACGTTGTCTGATTTTGATTCTGAAAAAAAATTTGAACTCACCAGAAAAGTGTATATAGATCCTACGAAGCACTTTGTAAAAACTAAATTTTATATTATTGTGAACTGTACTGGAAACTGGAAAATATGAACTTTTTCGAATCATAATTAAAATTGAAATCAATATTAAAAAAGGTGCTCTGCTGTACAGTAGGTTACAATTGGGTCACTGTATAATGGATGGTATTAAATTTGAATTCAATGATATAATATCATTGTACAAGAAAAACGATTCTGAGCGGAGACAGTCTAGGTTTAAGACATATTATATACATAATACATATCTATGGACTATGGAATTTTAAAAAAATATTAACCTATAATAAATTTCAAATTAATCATATCACAAAAGCCATTAGGTACTTGTTATACATAACAACAAACCCTGATACTATCATAGATATATAATATATACTATAATATACTAATAAAAAAAATTGTTAATATGTATTTTTAATATTTTTCAACCGATATTGTAACAATATATCAGAATTTTTCATCTGCCTTTGAAACAATATACTAGGAGCCTTCTATTAAATTTTCAACTTTTCGCAACCAACAAATAAAATTTTATTGACATTTTTAGAACAAAAACTAAAAAAAGATGGAAAATGAAAATGTCCCTAAACAGTTCAAAATAAATCAAAATATTTTGAAAATGTTATCGTGTATACAAAATTCAAATATAAACAACCCGTGAAAATTTCATATTTCATGTATATACGTTAATTTCTTTTAGAGTTACACCAAAAATCAAAATCGATTTTTTGGAAAACCGATTTTGCGTAAAAATTCCCGTTTTTCTTTAATTTTTATGTTGTTTTTCCCGGTGCTTGTAAAAACTATTGGGAAATTTTTACTTTTGACCCCCCAAAGTACCAACTAGATTCACTTTCCTATCAGAAAAGATACTGTTGAAGAAAATCCAAGCACTTTTACTGTCCTAAAACGTGATGACAGACACAAACATAAAAAAAAAATTAAAAAAAAACACACATCATTGTAAAATCAATACATTCATCGTTTCACTCAGAATCTAAAATAGATGAACTTTTTTTAAACTGAGTTAAGTTAATATTTTATATTATCTACCTTTATCAATAAAAAAATCTCTACCGGACAGTCAAATTAAATTTTTATGAGCGTTTGAAATTCAAATTTTTACAACATTGGATATTCACTCGATTACTCATGTAGCGATTTCTTTCTTTTGTTGCAATTCAAAAACGAACAACTGTAGATACATGAAAATTTCACTGAATGTTTAAATTAGCATTTTCTATACACCATACAATTTTGAAAATATTTTGACTCTTTTTGAGCTGTTTATGGACATTTACAGCTTTCAATTTTATTTTAGTTTTTTTTTCTATAAATATCAATAAAGTTTTATCTGTTGGGCCAAAAAGTGTAAAAATTTAATACAAGGCTCCTGATATATTGTTACAATATCAGTTGAAAAATATTAAAAATACATAGGCACGATTTTTTTTTATAAGCATTTAAAGTTGGAATTTTGACAAAATTTATCAAAATCTCGAAAATTATCAATCGTTTAAATTAAAAAATTATAAAATGTTCAGTTTTTATAACTAAGAGTTGAAAATTTAAAACAAAGATTCTCTTGAATAATTCATACTGTAACCAAAAAATCTAAAAAATATATAAACACACTTATTTTTTACAGACATTTTAATTTCAAATTTAGACAAAATTTCATATTTAAACCAAGAATTACGATTTTAGTTATTTTGTTGTGATTGAATAATATTATTCGTGGGTACTTGAAACTTCTAAAGTGTACTATTATATATCTATGATAGTATCACGGTTTTTGTTGATGTATAACGCGTTACCAGTACCTAATGGATATTGTGATATGATTAATTTGGAATTTATTATAGGTACCTATTATAGGTCAATTTTTTGTTTAATACCATAGATATGTATATAATATGTCTTATACCTACATAGACTGACATACCGTCTCCGCTCAGAATCGTTTTTCTTATACAATGATATTATATCGTTGAATTCAAATTTAATATCATCCATTATACAGTGACCCACTATTGTAACCTACTGTACAGCAGAGCGACACCCACTTGCCACCCTTTTCTATATGAACTTTTAACTTATCGAGTTAAATTTATAATTTGTTAACTGCTAACTTTTAACTAATCAATCTTGTGTCCTCTTAACTTAATTTAACTTGAGTTAATTATTTTCATTAACTTGCCCACCTTTGTTTATGGTATTAAAACAAAAATTGACCTATAATGGGTACCTATAATAAATTCTAAATTAATCATATCACAATATCCATTATTTACCTACTCATAAAAAACGATTCTGAGCGGAGACAGTCTAGGTTTAAGACATATTATAAACATAATACATATCTATGGACTATGGAATTTTAAAAAAATATTAACCGATAATAAATTTCAAATTAATCATATCACAAAAGCCATTAGGTACTTGTTTTACATCAACAACAAACCGTGATACTATCATAGATATATTGTAGTATACTTTAAAAGTTTTCAGTACCCACGAATAATATTATACAGTCATAACAAAATAACTAAAAGAGTTATTCTAGGTTTTTAATATGTGATTTCGTCCAAATTTGAACCTAAAATGACTATAAAAATAAACTATGCTTGTGTATTTTTTAGATTTTTTGGTAACAGAATTAACTACTTACATGGAATCTTGTTTTAAATTTTCAATCCTTAGATATAAAAGTTGAACATTTTATAAGTTTTTAACAACAAAATAATTATTCAATTTTAAATTTGATAAATGTTGTCAAAATTCGATCTTTAAATGCTTATAAAAAAAAAAATTAGGCCAATGTATTTTTAATATTTTTCAACTCCTATTGTAACAATATATCAGGAGCCTCGTATTAAATTTTTACACTTTTTGGCCCAACATATAAAACTTTATTGATATTCGTAGAAAAAAAAGAAAAATTTAAAACTGACAATGCCCGTAAACCGCTCAAAAAGCGTTAAAATATTTTGAACATTTCATCAAGTATAAGAATTGATAATATAAACATTCAGTGAAATTTTCATGTATCTACAGTTATTCGTTTTTCAAGTACAACAAAATAAGAAAATCATTACATGAGAAAACGAGTGAATAACAAATTTTGTAAAAATATGAATTTAAAATGCTCATAAAAATTTAATTTGACTTTCTTATTGACATTTTTTTTTGATGAAGGTAGATAATCTTATAAGGAATCTTGTATTACATTTTAAAATCTTAGATTTAAAAAGATAAATTTTTACGAATTCTTAACTCAAAATAATTTGCTAATTTTCGTGATTTTTCCATATTTTGTCAATTTTTGAAGTTTAAATGCTTATCAAAAAAAACTGTGACTAAAGATTTGTAATATTTTTCATCTGTCTTTGAAACAATGTACTAGGAGCCTT